AGATTGATTGTTTATTATGGTTCTCTTTCTTCTTATATCAATTTTCGTCTTCTAGGAACGAGAGGAGGAGTCAAGGAGGCTGAAGCAGCTGAAGATTACAGAAGAGGCTGAACAGAAGAGGCTTGCAGCCGAGTATGAGCAAAGGAACAAGCAAAGGATCCTCCGGGAAATTGAGGAACGTGAGCTTGAAGAAGCGCAAGCTTTGCTTGAGGAACAAGAGAAGCGCAGTAAAAGGAAAGGAGGAAAGAAGCCCATCTTAGAAGGAGTGAGTTTAGATCTTGTCTCATTTACTTTTCATTAAACAGGGAGCTGTGCCTGATATGAAAATTTTATTTCCACATAGGAGAAAGTGACAAAGCAAATTTTAATGGAAAGGGCTTTGAGTGAGCAACTCAGAGAGAGGCAGGAAATGGAGAAAAAATTACAGAAATTGGCTAAAACAATGGATTATTTGGAAAGGGCGAAAAGAGAGGAGGCAGCCCCACTGATTGAAGCTGCTTTTCAACAACGATTGGTGGAAGAGAAAGCACTTCATGAACATGAACAGCAGGTATCTGTTTAAGTTTTTGTCACATGTCCTTGAAAGGTCGTTCTATTTCCATATCATTCCATATAAATGTTTCTCTGCCCCTATCCTTCACATCATAAATTTCAGCATTCCTAAAAGAAGGATGTTACCACTTAGTGTAATTATATTTTTGTTCGATATAGTTTATTGTGGCTTCCGTTTAAGTCATGCTAATCAGTGTCTGCATTGCAGCTGGAGACTGAATTGAGCAGACAACGCCATGATGGGGACCTCAAGGAGAAGTATAGGCTGTCTCGGATGTTGGAGAACAAGGTCAGTGTCCAATATCTCTGTGATTCTACGTGTCATGTGGCGAGCTACTTCATCTGAGGAAATATGATGATAAATCCTCCAGGCCTGGATATTCTGTGGGGCCGTGTTTTGTTGGCTTGCTTTCAACATTTAAACAAATTTGATTTTTGTTCCCTTGCAGATCATATTTGAGGAAAGAGTGAAGAGCCGTCGAGAGGCTGAATTCAACCAAAGGAGAGCCGACAGGGAAGAAAGGATCAGCCAGATTATTCAAGCACGGAAACAAGAGAGGGAAGCTTTGAGGAAGAAAATATTCTTTGTTAGGTCTGAAGAGGAGAGACTGAAAAAGCTGCGTGAAGAGGAAGAAGCTCGCAAACATGAAGGTGGATACCCACTACACTGAATGGACATCTTTTTTCCACTCGATACATGATCCATATTTTATGTTCAATGGGTTTCCTTTTATCCATTTCTGAAGTTTCTCTACTTTTTATTCCCCAACGTTGTTGCTTGCCTTCCCCATTCAACTATGTGTTCACAGAGTGTCCTCTCTAAGCATATATAAGTTTGTGAATGACCAACTCATGCTCTATGTTTTGGTGTTTTCAAACACAGAGGCTGAGAGGCGCAGGAAAGAAGAAGCTGAACGCAAGGCGAAGTTGGATGAGATAGCAGAGAAGCAGAGACAAAGAGAACGTGAATTAGAAGAAAAGGAACGGGTAAGGAGGGAAACTCTCTTGGGAAGAGCAACTGATGGGCTTCATAGGCCTTCTGAGCTTCCTGCCGGTCCAGAGCCTGGGGCTGCATCAGCAGCAGCTGCAGCTGCAGCTGCACCAGCCCCTGCAAAGTATGTGCCCAAGTTCCGGCGAGGTGGAACTGAAGGCTCATCACAGGCCCCTCCAGATTCTGACAGGTGGGGCAGTGGAAAGAGCAGGCCAGCCCCTCCAGAATCTGACAAGTGGGGTAGTGGAAGCAGTGGCAGTACCAGGCAGGCCACTTCAGATACAGACCGGTGGGGTGGTGGTGGTCGCTGGGGCAGCGGTGGTAGCAGACCTGATGATCGGAATCTGCCTGGTGATAAGTGGGGTGGAGGTTCAAAGTCCACTTGGTCATCATCTAGGCCTCGTGGTCACTGATAATCCCAGAGTCTACATGAACATTTTAAGGTGGCCATTTTTGTCTTGGTTATATTTATTGAATGAAGGGAAAATGCACCTGGGAAAACCCTTTGAGGAATAATTATTAGTTAGTTATAGTTTCAAATTTTGTTGACTTGCAAAACATTAAAGTGACATCCTTGACTTTCCTTTTTTCTTTTCTTGTATGGTATTATTAAGAAATGTTTATTGTAATTTGGACCTGTCACTTTCGAAGAGTTGTTTATTCTTTTTCACTTCTGAGTCGTGTAACTTCTTTTCTCAGTTGAGATGTTTTCAGGGATTAAGGTGCCCGTGACTTTGTTTTTTTTATATCCTTACCAGTGGAATCATCTATCTTCTGTTCTAGCCATTAGCATCCCTTTTAGGAAATTTTAGTTTCCTTTCCCTTTTCCTCTTACCTTTCCACTGAAATAGAAGACAGCATTTGCATTTGAGGTGGTACCATTTATCCATGTCGAAACGTGGCCTGGTCTCAAGGCTCCTATTCTCACAATTCAAGTTATATACAAGCGAGTGGTTATGGTCATGTGTAGCGATTTGGTAGGTGCTAGGAAGTGATGGTGGCAATTTTAGCTTGTAATGAAACCTTAAAACCTGAATCGTTTATATTTATATATTCATTATATTCTTTATGTTATGTAAAAGTTGGCTATCAATTACCTGTTGCCCTGTACATTTTGCTTTAGTTTCAAGCACATCATCAAGCCTGAGGTCAATGCACTTCTCCTAAATGTTTGTTATTAAAATTCTAATTTCGATTTGACATTTGAACACCACCCCTGCCGCCCCC